CACACACACACACACACACACACACACACACACACACACACACACACGATGTTTATGTGTGTTTCTGCATTTGTCAGACGCTTTTATCCAAAGCGACTTACAGAGTAGACACAATATTACATTTATCATCACTGTGACAATGCTGGGCATCATTATATCTAAAATACATATAAACATGAACATGTTCCCCCCCAAAAAAGAGATATTTCAGTTTTTCTGACATTGGAACGCTTGTAATTTTAAATACAACAGTAATGTTATATATGTATTTGCAATTTTTTTAACAATCTTTTGAGATCACAGCCTTTGATAAAGATGTTTAATCACGTCTTCTTTTTGAGAAATCACCACTTTGGCTTTTAGGAGGAATCACCAGCCAATCAGAGTAAACCATCCATGCCCACACACACACACACACACAGACACAGACACACACACACACACACACACACACAGACACACACACACACACACACACAGACACAGACACAGACACAGACACACACACACGATGTTTATGTGTGTTTACGTTTCTGCATTTGTCAGACGCTTTTATCCAAAGCGACTTACAGAGTAGACACAATATTACATTTCTCATCACTATTACAATGCTGGGCCGTAGCTTAGCTTAGCTTAGGACTGGACAACACATCATTATATATGAAATATATATATTTATATTAGTTTATTAGTGGAGTTTATCTATATAAAGATTAACATGTTCCCCCCCAAAAGATACATTTCTGATATTCTGGCATTCAAACGCTTGTCATTTAAAATTCAACAGTAACATACATTAGTGGAAATATGTATTTATATGTATTCACAATTTTTCAACAATCTTTTGAAATCACAGCCTGTTCTCCTTTGATAAAGAGGTTTAATCGCGTCATGGTTTTGAGAAATCACCAGCCAATCGGAGTAAACCATCCATGCCCACACACACACAAACACACATGAGGCTGGGCCTTAACTTAGCTTAGCTCAGCTTAGCTTAAATAAGTTTAAGACTGGGAAACACACCATTATATCTAAAATACATATCAACATGAACATGTTCCCCCCCAAAAATAAGAGATTTCTGTTTTTCTGACACGGGAACGCTTGTAATTTTAAATACAACAGTAATGTTATATATGTATTTGCAATTTTCTAACAATCTTTTGAGATCACAGCCTTTGATAAAGAGGTTTAATCACGTCTTGTTTTTGAGAAATCACCACTTTGGCTTTTAGGAGGAATCACCAGCCAATCAGAGTAAACCATCCATGCCCACAAACACACACAAAGACACACACACACACACACACACACACACACACACACACACACACACACACACACACACACA